TGCCACGTGTCAGATTTGCTCTAAATGCTTTAGTTTCAGAGATATAAACCAAAAACTGCATTTTACCCCTATGTTCTATTTTTAACCAAGTTGGCCATGATGGTTGGAAGGCGGGGTCATCGAACAAATTTTTTAAACTAGATACCTTAATAATGATTATGGCCAAGTATGGTTAAATTTGTCTCAGTAGTTTCAGAGAAGAAGATTTTTGTAAAAGATTACAAAAATTTACGAAAAATTGTTAAAAATTGACTATTAAGGGCAATAACTCCTAAAGGGGTCGACTGACAATTTTGGTAATGACAACTTATTTGTAGATCTTACTTTGCTGAACATTATTGCTGTTTACAGTTTACCTCTATCTATAATAATATTCAAGATAATAACCAAAAACTGCAAAATTTCCTTAAAATTACCAATTCATGGGCAGCAACCCAACAACAGGTTGTCAGATTTGTCTGAAAATTTCAGGGCAGATAGATCTTGACCTGATAATCAGTTTTACCCTATGTCAGATTTACTCTAAGTGCTTTGGTTTCAGAGATATAAGCCAAAATCTACATTTTACCCCTATGTTCTATTTTTAGCCATGGCGGCCATCTTGGTTGGTTGGCGGGGTCATCGGACACATTTTTAAACTAGATACCCTAATGATGATTGTGGCCAAGTTTGGTTAAATTTGGCCCAGTGGTTTCAGAGAAGATTTTTGTAAAAAGCTAACGACGACGACGACGGACGCCAAGTGATGAGAAAAGCTCACTTGGCCCTTTGGGCCAGGTGAGCTAAAAAAGTGGGGAATGTGTCCATAGGACACAGATGATACCCCCGTTATTTATAACGTTATAAAGCGACATAACTCAAAAATGATAAAAGTGACGCTTCCCGAATTCATACTTGATCAGAGTTTTGTGGTAATGAGCATTGTGTACAAGTTTCATAACATTTGGTTGAGGCAAACTTAAGTTAGAGAACGGAAACAAAAAAATTCAGCAATTTTTCCATTTGTAAAGAGGCATAACTCTAGAACGGTAAAAGTGACGCCATCAAAATTCAAACATGATCTGTGTTTTGTTGTAATAAGCATTGTGTATAAGTTTCATAACATTTGGTTGAGGCAAACTAAAATTAGAGAACGGAAACTAATTTGGGGATGTACGGACGAACAGACGGATGAACAGATGGACAAGGGTAAAACTTAAACATAAAAAAAGAGGAAATTGTCCCTACCTCTTTTCCTGAAAGTGTTCCAAAGTCGAAGGGTTGTAAATATTCAAAAGTATGTCACTTGAAATCAAATTCATATATTATCATCTGCTGCGATCTGCAATGGCTGAATACTGAGCAGAAATATGAAAGGGCTGTATTCAGATCAAATGAAGGTAACTGGAATCGAATTCACTTGTAATCTGAAATAATTTTATATGATTTACAGGAAAATCACAGAGATAAATTTTGATGAATATGGTCTCATGGTAGCCTGCTTTCCTCGATTCAAGGGTTCAAACACCAGAGAGGTAAACCAAAGACTTGAAAAATGGTATTTGATGCTTCTCTGCTGAGCATACAGCATTTAGGAGTAATTGGCAAAGACTTGTCGGCTGGAAATCTGAATAATATGTATGTGTAGGGTGAAAGGTCTTCCTGTAGACTGTTTCCTTGTGAATTGTTGGTCTAGTACAAATCAAGGTTTATAATCATATCCCATTATCATGTTCACATCCTGAAAATGTATTTATTTTGCCACTAGACATTAAAACAGACATTTATTATCATCATCATGGGTATGTCTAAGTGTGGTCTCAATTGGCCAAGAGATTTTATGAAAGAAGATGCATGTATTTGAAAAAGACAGACACCTGTGATGATTGACCACATAAGGATGTACCACATGTAACAAGTAATGGTAATAACTCCCACTGGCCCTCATGGCAAAGTTAGCTAGCTACATACAAATGATAGTAAATACTAAGAAGTTCTTTATTAAATCTTTATTTTTCAAATTGATGGATCAGTTTCAATAATAATTTGTAAACTACTTTTGTACATTTTTTCATGATTGGTATATTATAGAGATTTCATTTTTACTAGAATTTGTAAATTTTTAAAACTTATTAATAACCACGAAAGCAATTATTTCTGTCGGCATGAACATATTTTTATGAACTTATGAAATAAATATAATCCAAATATTTCTTATAATATAAATTGGCACTCATAGACTGGTGCAACAGTCTTGTATTAAATCTCTTATCTAAACATTTCTTTTAGGATGACTAAATCCCTATAATCCCATTAGCCTAAAGTTTAAAAAAAATCCTGCTTTAAATAAATTTACATTAGCAGACTAACACAAAGTTTTTGAATAAGTTTATTATAAATATTTCTGTAAAATTACTAAATCACTATGATTATATCATGTGTAACTTGCTTAATTTCTAACTTGCATGTATCTAAATTGCACACTCACAAATGACATGTTGACTACCCTAGTCATTTTTTAAGGATTTACCGTACTGTGGATTCATTTATTTTAGTTGGTATCAATTTTTCTGGTTGGAAAGCTATTTCAAGGGTACATAATTTCATGGATTCATCATTTGCTCCAATCAAATTAAATAAACGTTTGTTATTCAACTTTTAAAATTTTTAGTTTCTCCATACCCAAAAGATCTATTCAGACATGAAATGTTCTGATTACATATGGCTCAAGGATATTAGAAAAAAACTGGGAAGTGAGATTACAATTTTTGGATGAGGCCATCATATAATTGGTCTTTGGCAAAATTTGAAATAATTCATTTTTCCATCAGATATTTTTAATTACCTGCTAAATAAACCGTTCATGGATACATGCATTACTTTGGAGATCACCATGTAACCTAACACTGAAGTCAAGTTTTGGGAAGAAAATCTATTATGCATGATAAAAATTGAGGACATGTCCAATGCTGGTTAGTACCTATATAAGGTAAGCAACAATTTAATAATTTCATAAAATATTGAGAAGTCAAATTTAAACTGGCTAAGCTCATACATGATCACAATAGCCCATGTAGAGAAAAATGAGATAACAATGGTGATCCTTATGCATCTAAATAGATGTGGTACACCACACAAATTGAAAAAGAAAAAAAATATACATCCCAAAAAATCTGACATAAACTAAAGACACAAATATAAGTACAGACTAGTAACACAAATAATAGTTTGACCTAGAACTAATGTATAATATACATACTACTAATTTAACTTATAATATACAAATCAAAATATAAATAAATACACAGCAATTTTCAGAAATATGAAAAATTTCATTCCTATTATCAAATGACAATTTTAATCATGATTATTGTAACATTTACATGTATATCACATTTTACATACAATTCATAATTCAAATGATGATTAGAAACTGACACAAAACCAAAATGCTGCGAAAAATTAATAACACACATATATTTGATTTTAAAGCAAGTGATTTTAAATCTGACAGAATCTTCCCTATCAGAAATTAAGACTTTTATCACTCCCAATGTACAAATATATCAAATGTGTGCCAAATTGAGATTTCTCATTATTGTACATGTATAAAGTGCATATAAATATTAACAATGTCTTCATAGTTGAGAATATTTACTCATATTTTTTGGATCAGTGTCTTATAAATTTCATACTGAGGGGAGAGGGAGGGATGGAAGGTGGTGTTCCTGGAATCTAAAATTGTAGGAGTAGAAGACTTTCTTTATAATTCTTACATTAAAAGGTTGTAAAAAATAACACAGTATGATTGTCAGGTAAATTGTTTTTTTCTCCTCATTTCATTTACTTTTTATTGGTATAAGTATCGTTAAATCAAAGAATTAAAAAATATTCAAATAACTTTAAAGAAAATTTACAATAACAAAGCTTTTATTTTAGTTTGATCTACTGATAAATAGTCAGCAATATATAATTAGGGCTGCTCCTGATCTACTGATAAATAGTCATCAATATATAATTAGGGCTGCTCCTGATCTACTGATAAATAGTCAGCAATATATAATTAGGGCTGCTCCTGATCTACTGATAAATAGTCATCAATATATACCGTAGAAAGGCTTGTATAGTCCGCGGTTTTATTCTCCAAAATTGGACCTTCCAGAAGGGGTGCGGACTATAGAGTACAATAAGCAAGAAATAAGAGAAAAATTTCAATTTCGCGGTCGAGGTGGTTTGTTTACGTTCCGCCATCTTTGTTATTTCTATTGTAGAGGGCGCTCTTATCATTTTTCAAACTAATAATTTTAACTCATCCATATTAATAAGTTATTTCTATTCAATATCAAATTAATACTGATAAATATAAAAACTAAACCTTTCATTACAAATTTCTCGTTTCTTTTCAATGCATTGGTTGAAATAAACTGTTATCTGCTCGATTGAAACGATACAAACATAGTGAAAAAGACAACCGTAAACCAGCTTAGAATTTGTAAACTACAAAACGAAATCGGTTATTGTTCGTTCCGTTTTGGTGTTTCATACTGACTAATATGGTTTGTATTAGCTTAAGACCCTTCAAACATTTATGTGATAGATATATTAAAGACTGTTTTACAAAAGGATGGAACTGTTTTACTTTCAAAGTCGTATTATAGTGATATATGTTATGTACGGATTTCGACTCTCACCGGTTAAGTTCTTCTTTTACACGTGCTTTTTAAACTTCCTGTTTAAACATACACAAGTTTCTAAATTGTTTTTTAAGTGAATTAAACTTATTTTAACAATCATGAAGCGTTCTAGAATCATTAACAAGCAGTTTCAGCTTCTGTTTGATGATGGAAAACAGGTTTTTCCAAGAAAATACCGCAAACGACCGCACAGGATTTGAAATTACCGGAGTTTCATTAGACCTTTTCTAACAGTTACAAAAAGTTTTTTTACCTAAAATTTCGTTGTGAGAAGGGGGTGCGGACTATGTACCACTGCGAACTATACAAGCCTTTCTACGGTAATTAGGGCTGCTCCTGATCTACTGATAAATAGTCAGCAATATATAATTAGGGCTGCTCCTGATCTACTGATAAATAGTCATCAATATATAATTAGGGCTGCTCCTGATCTACTGATAAATAGTCAGCAATATATAATTAGGGCTGCTCCTGATCTACTGATAAATAGTCAGCAATATATAATTAGGGCTGTTCCATAAAAACATACATGGGACCAAGGGAAGGCACTTCCGAATGTTTTTTTGCCATTTGATAAAGGACTTTCCGTTTTGAATTTTCCTTGGAGTTCGGTATTTTTGTTATTTACTTTTTTCTCAACTATGGGTGAGTGTCATCTATGTTTTTTCCAGAGCGAAAATGTAAGTTAAAATTTTAATTTGCCTCTATAGGTGGTACCCCATTTTTAAAGTGCCTTCCCGGGTAGTATGTATGTTTTAATGGAAAAGCCTGTAGACCAAACAATACATTTGATAATCATTTCCAATAACCTCTGATTCTATGATTTCAATACAATTGGTATTACATGGTTGTTGTCAACATATCACAATAAATCAACACATGTAATTTGACATCATAATAATAAGTTTTACAAGGCACAACTCATTTGACTAAATTTATGAGTTATAACTTCTTTATGGCACAGGATTTAATTTTAATTTTCAAGATTTAAAAAAAGAATCAATCATAACACTATCAATATTAAACAAACATTATAAACAAAACAGAAAGCATATGTATATGTGTTATGAACCTTTATGAAATAAAAACAAAACTCTGGTTTCAAATATGAGGATTTTATTCCTTTGAGACTAGCTTCACAAATTAAATAGTGTATAGAACTGCATATTTTTCATAATGCCATACAATGGACTAATCTTTCAGTAGAGTTTAAAAAGTATTAATAATAACAATAATATCAACTATTTATCACATTCTGTAAATATGTAAAATGCAAGCAGTAAGGACAACTTAATACTGGAATGTATGGGAAAGGGAACTAAAAAAAATCTAGAGTTAACTCCCTTTTAAAAATGTAATCATTGCCCCTTATTTCCGACAGCAGAAGTTCTGTAGAAATCTAACATAGCCAGAATCAGTCAAAAGAAGTTTACTATTTGTCAGATCTTGTCATGTTCTTGTTTATTTTTTGGGGTGGTTAAAGATTTTTTAAGATGTATTTTATTTTTTAAATATCATTGTCATATGACAACAGTCCATAAAGGGAGACCTGACACAATTTTAACTTAAGTTATGAAAAAACAGACAGAATTTACCCTTTTTAATAAAGTTAATATGTCCAAAAGGTTAAAAAAAAATTGGAGGAGCAGAAGAGACATATAGTTTATTTTAAGATTTATAGATATAAGAAGATGTGGTATGAGTGCCAATGAGACAACTCTCCATCCAAGTCACAATTTATAAAAGTAAACCATTATAGGTCAAAGTACAGTCTTCAACACGGAGCCTTGGCTCACACCGAACAGCAAGCTATAAAGGGCCCCAAAAATTACTAGTATAAAACCATTTAAACGGGAAAACCAACTGTCTAATAGATTTGATTTGGTTTTTATTTATAGCATCATAAACTCTTATATAAATATCTTGGCAAATCCACTAGAGACTACATGGAGACTGTATCCCACATCTAGTACTTAGGTTTTACACTGATTTAAAAAAGAACATGGTGCTTTGGCATTTATAGGACATTTGAAATGACTACATGGAATGAAATTTCAACTATGACAGTTCAAAATGCAATAAAATCCTTTTTCAGCCTCTGTTTGGTAAATATTTGTTCACTCAGTAAATATTTGTTTCACATCTGTTCTAAGGGTCAGGAGGTTTTTTTTTCCAAAAGTAAATTGAAAGAAATTGATTTCTAAACTGTAATTTCTAACAACACCTTTAAGAAATGAACTATATCCATAAAAAGCACTGAACAGAAGCAGAAATCTGCAAATTTCATGAATTTTTTAAGTCCAAAGGCAACAATGAGGTTTCAGTTGGGTCAGATTGAATAAAACTCAAAACTGACGTGTACCTACTACTTTAGCCTTTAAAGAATACGGTTTTACCTGTTTCAGATCCTAGTAGTGGCGATAAGAAAATTTGATGCGAGCTTGAAAAATCATTTATAATTAAAGCAGACGACAAAGGTTTCTTTTGCCCATAGTAACATTTACAAGACTAGAAAAAAAAAACCTTAGGGAAAGTGTTGAATTTATCCACATGATTAATTTCTAGTAAAAAAGGACATTTTGTTTTTAAAATAGACCCCTGGTCATACAATGGTCCTCAGAGGCAAAGTGGTTGGAAAGGTCTAGAATTAGAAAAAAAATGGATAGAATACAAATGATGGATGCAAAAAAAAGGCAAAAGCTCACATTGTACATCTGGGCAAGGTAAGCTAATACAAAACATTCTTACAATATAAAATTGATAATCACTTTAAGCTATAGACCCTTTTGTTATTTTTTCACATTAAACTAATTGAAAAGTCTTCTAAAATCACACACAATTTCTTTTAAAAATTTCTAAAAAATCTATATTAAACTTCAATTCTACAAAAAAAATATAATCAGACCTTATAAAGATAAATACATCTTTTTTGTACAATACACACTTTTTTTTTGTTTCCTTACTGCACTAAGAAATAAATTATAAAATTTTGAAGTAGAATTGTGCCTAAATGTTTTCACTTGAAGGTCAAGATTTGTACTTGGCATAGAGTTTTATCGTATGCTCTACTGGTTCCAGCCAATAGACAGTCTGTGCTACACCAAACAAAATGGCAATAGCTATAATCCTACTTGTACCTCCCTTGTAGAAAGCTGTCCATCCCTCTGTCATGTATATTTTCCTGAAATATTAATCAATAAATTTAAAAATTGTACCACCACTACCACAGAAATTTAATGGACAGTAAAACAAGTTTACCAGTTGTTACTTCAATCATCTCCTTTGCTGTTTAAGCTTGTAAAGGTTTAACTCTCTAACATGTCTAAAGAAAACATTCTTTCAAGTATGAACAAAAATATCTCTACATATATATGTGTCATTTTCTGTTTTAGTTTGTTTTTTATTAAAGAATAGATTGATTGATTGATTGATTGATTGGTGGTTGCTTTATGCCACATCAGCCCAAAAAGGTTATATTGCAGCGATCAAATAATTTATCTGAATCTGTTATTAGTAAAATGCAACTGTCAAGACCCTATTCTTCTGCATATAAAATTTTGTAATACAAATATATTGTGTTATTTTTCTATATTTACTTAAAAATCTGAGAAAGTACTGAATTAACACAAAAAGTTTATGAATGTATAACATTTTCATCTTTATTTTAGGTATACAATGTAAACTATGTTTAAAGATGTATTCTAATATGACGTGCTTCTTTCGCTTTGTAAACAACACCGTGATAAAATTCTCTATATCTATACTTAGTGCAGACTCAGAGATGTGCATATTGGTGGCTGTCACTATTTACCTCCCATGTAAATCCACATGTATCATAACCTATGTGCAAACACTATGTCTATTTCGTTGTGTTCAAATTGAAATTGAAAAAGAAACTACAGAACCGTTGTTCCTATTATTATATGCATAACAAAAAGAATTAATGCACAAGAGCTTAAAAAATGTATAAAATCAAAATAAAATAAAATTCCGTGAAATTTCATGAATAATCTTGGCGCATTAACGTCATGTCATAACATAACGTCATACAAATGAAAACTCTCAAGCTGATGGTTTTCCGTTACGTATACGCCCTAAATTCGGATAATATTGCATTAAAATGGAGTTTTGAGGTAGGTGTTGTTTCATTTTCTATTCCATTGCATTATTTGCACATTTGTGGATTTCAGCTAGTCAACATGGCAGCTCACTCCTTAGTTACGACATGTCAACTCTGGATTTGACAGTAAATAGTAGCCAACGAAAAAAAATGTTTGGGTTAAGAATTATGAGAATTTAACACATTTTTTTCAAGTGCTTATTTAAGAAATAATTCATGTAAGACTTAGATTTATTTGAAATTTGTAGCTTTTATCTTACAGGGGGTAAAATAGAACAGCCATACACATGGCAATCTTACCTTCGCTTCAGTTTTCAAATTACCGTATTTGTCCTATTAGAATCAAAATAAATAATGGAAGCCATAGATTTGTTGGACATTTACACATGGCCTGGGCTGTGATATTCGTTATTTTATCAGCATAGCTAACTCTCAGGATAAAATTTGAATATCACGGCCCAGGCCATGTGTAATGTCCTACAAATCTATGGCTTCCATGAATTATTTCTTAATTACAGTACAGTTAAGCAGTTATCTGCAATTTTTTTTCTAATAATAGAGATTATCAAAATTTTATATTTTCAATAATCTGGTTTAATTCAATCAAATATTTGTGTGGGTGTGTGGGTGTTGCAGCCTTTAGCTCATTGCCATATTTGGCATGGCCATAGATGGCGCTCTCAGATGGAATCTGAATTTTGGAATTCCCGTATCGGGCACTTGTTATTTTGCTGTCGACAACAAAGCAGGTTATTTAAACGAAAAGATGCCAAACAAAAGAAATGCCAGGGGATCGCCATCAATGGCCATTGGAAAGAAGAGGAGGACGACCAGCAGAAAAGAAGGACAGGGAGTGCGGAACGAAGAAATCACTCAAAAGAAGGACGGAGTTGGACGGAAAAGAATGGTCAGGAAAACACAGGAGGTGGGACACGTGGAGACACAAGGACCAGAAGAAAATGCTGAAATATCATCAGGTAATGAGTCGGAGGAGGATGCACGGGCATTCCCATTTTTTAGGCACGACCCGTCACACAAAAATTTTGAAATGGCAAATAATTCCATTGATTTCACTCCGACACAAGAGTCTAGCATTCATGACACAGTAGGTGAACACGTGCCTTTTAAAATTAAGGAAAAGATTTGGGAGGGAAAGTTTATAGAGCTTCATTATCTTTTGAGAACGCAAAAAGAAATTGAGGAGGTTGACGAGGGCGATTTGAAATTAAAAAGGGGGAAAATTTGCATTGAAAAAAGATCGTCGGGTGTTTATTTGTCCATAAATGAATGGACTTCAGCATTTATGGTTTTTATGAGTGTGTACATTGAGAAATACAGGACATGGGCACAGGAATTGTTAAAATATATGCGCGATATAAGATTAGCGGCAACGAGGTCAGAAAACTGGGCCACCTATGACGAGCAATTTAGGCTAAAAATAGAAAAGAATCCAAATTTATCTTGGGAAAATATACACGGTGAATATTGGCTACTACACATCACATCTCCCACAGTACAAAACAATGTGTCAGTGCAATCACAGGGTTATAGAACAAATACACAAAATCGTGGTCATAATAACTCAAATGCAGCTACACTTTCAAACACTAACACAAGAACACATCAACAATCACAGGTAACTAGTGGAAGTGTAAATATGTCATGTAAATACTATAATAATGGTAATGACTGTCCCTACTTCCCTCGTTGTAGGTTTAAACATGTATGTGAAATATGCAGTGGCAAACACAGAAAGGCCCAATGTAATAACCAGGCCCAAGGAAGAAGTAACAAAAAGTATTAATTTTTATTCATTAGGAAATACTCCTGTTAAAGTATCGGTCTTGGAAAATTATTTAGAATTTTACCCACATAACAATGTAGCACATGAAATTATATCTGGTTTCAAATATGGTTTTTCATTAAAATATTTTGGCTCTAGGGAACCAAGGGAGAGTTCCAATTTAAAAAGTGCATTACAGCTACCCAACATTTTTAAAGAAAAATTAATGAAGGAAGTTAAACTTGGTCGCATTGCTGGTCCTTTCAGATACCCGCCTTTTCCCACACTTCAGGTATCACCAATGGGGCTAGTGCCAAAAAAGGATGGGGATTTTAGACTTATTCAACATTTATCCTATCCTGAGAATAATTCAATAAATGATTGTATTGGTAAAGATCATTGTTCAGTGCAGTACAGTTCAGTGGACGAAGCAGCATGTTTGATTAATAGACACAAAACATTTGCCCGTTTAAGTCAGTGTGATGTAAAAGCGGCTTTTCGCTTGTTGCCAATTGCCCCGCAGGATTTTGACTTGTGAGGGATAAAATTTCAGGGTGAATATTATCTTAATAAAATGATGCCAATGGGGGCCTCAATAAGTTGTGCCCTTTGGGAGAAATTTGCAAAAGCTTTGCATTGGATAATACAGCAAAAAAGCGGAAATGATCATACCCTCCATTATTTAGATGATTTTCTTTTTGTCGAGTCGAGCCAAACATCAAAAGTTGGCAATACTTTGAAGATATTCCAAGAGGTATGCGATAAAATAGGTATTCCTCTTGCTAGTGACAAGACTACTTTGCCTACTACATTACTCATTTTTTTGGGTATAGAATTTGATACACAGAATTTAATCATGCGGCTTCCAAATGAAAAACTTGTCAAACTCTCACAAAAAATCAGAGATACCTTAGACAGTTCTAAAATAACTCTTAAAGATATGCAATCTCTTCTTGGGCTCCTGAATTTTGCTTGTAAGGTGGTTGCTCCAGGCCGCACCTTCTGTCGCAGACTCATAAATTCAACAATCGGGGTAAGAAAATCATATTACAAAATTCGAGTAAACAAGCAGATGAAAGCAGATTTAGAAGTTTGGTTAGACTTTTTAAAACAATACAATGGTGTCACTGTAATAACCGACAATGTATGTGGTTAGACTTTTTAAAACAATACAATGGTGTCACTGTAATAACCGACAATGTATGGGTTTCAAATGAAAAATTAGAGTTGTTCACAGATAGTGCAGGGGGGTCCAAAGGTGGGTATGGGATCTATTTTGCAGGTCAGTGGGCCCAAGGCATATGCCAAAACATTGGGTTGAAACTGGAATCACCAGAGATATGACATTGTTAGAGTTGTTTCCAGTTGTAGCAGCACTTATGTCCTGGGAATCATATTTTGTTAACAAAAAAGTTATTTTTCATGTTGATAATCAGGCGGTTGTTCAAATCATTAATATGAAAACTAGCAAATCAAGTAGAGTTATGACTTTAGTAAGACAAATGGTTTTAATGAACTTAAAAAACAATACGTCAGTTAAGGCAATTTATATCCCTTCAAAACAAAACCAAATTGCTGATTGTCTTTCTCGTTCTCAGTGGGGGAAGTTCAGAAGCCTAGCTCCAGAAGCAGACCAGTGGCCAACCAAAATTCCAACACAGATCTGGAACATTTAAGTCAGGTGGCGGATTATATTGTCAATCAAGGTGTGTCCAAAAATACACAAAAATCATACAATTTGGCTCTGTCAAAACTTTGTAATTTTAGATCATCTTACAAATTGAAACAGCATTGGCCAGTGCCAGTCAATGATTTGCTAAATTTCATAGCTTTTTTGTCAGTACAAGGTCTTTCTGGGGGTACCATATCATCTTATATATCAGGAGTTTCATACCATCAGAAAATACAAGACATACAGGATACTACAAAATTCTTTATAATTGGCAAGGCATTAGAAGGAATAAAAAGAATTCAAGGAGGGAAACGTGATGACATTAGAGCACCAATTACAGGGCAATTGTTAGCAGATATGATAGGTTGTTTAGATAAAGTATGTAAGAATAAATATGAAGCTGCTTTATTTTCAGCAGTTTTTTCATTTGCCTTCTTTGGTTTGCTAAGGGTAGGGGAAATCACTACTTCAAAAACTAAGTCTGTTATAAATGGCTCCAACTTAACAATTTCTGATATTTTAGTTAAGAAAAAAGTCCTGGAGCTAAGGGTAAGGTGGTCAAAAACTGACCAAAAGGGAAAGTCCGTTACTTTATTGATACCTGAGAACAGAAAAAACTACTGTCCGATACGACTCATGAATGAATACTTAAAGGTACGACCTACCTGTAACAATAAAGATTTGTTTATTCATTATAATGGTATGCCTTTAACTAGATACCAATTCAGCAGTATACTGGAAAAGGCTTTACATTTCCTTCATATTAGTAAAGGTCATTTTAGGTCACATAGTTTTAGAATTGGGGGAGCCACGGAACTAGCCAGGCAGGGGGTCTCAGAGGAGGTAATTATGAAATTAGGCAGATGGAAATCGCATGCTTATTCTCGCTATATTAGGTTGCAATTTTTCTAGTTTCAAAAGGCTAACAAGCTACAAGTTTTCACAGGTCCCAAGATTTTATGGATTGTTGGAAGTTCCCTTGTTCATTGGGCCAATGTAGAGGCGAAGAAATATGGTAGGACCAACCTGGGACTGGAGTCCAAAGGTGTTACAACATACTGGATTGGGCAACCTGGTTTACAGATTGAAGATTTGGACTCCCTACTGGATGCAAAAAGAAAATTTTTACCTTCTCTTAATTTTATTATTATTCACTGTGGAGCTAATGATTTGACAGATTTCGAATTGACAGGGAAGGGTTTAATTGAAAATGTAAAATGTTCTATCCTACGTTACCAGGCTTTATTTAAAAATGTTATTATAATATGGTCTTCAATGCTACAGCGCAGATACTGGCATTTTGCACCCTTGAATGCGGGTGCAATAATCGAACAGAAGAGAAAAAGAGTGAATTCAGTGGTCAAAAACTTTGTAATAGAAAATGGGGGGAAAGCTATTTTACATGAGAACATTAGGGCAAGTGAAGTGTCTTTATACAGAACAGATGGAACACATTTATCACAAACTGGAAATCAGGTTTTCTTAAATAATATTCAAGGAGGGGTTGAGTCTTTCCTACGCACAACAATTTCAACTTTTCCAATGCTTCAATAATGAAAATTTTGTGGAGGTGAGAACCCAAGTCAGATTTGGTAGCTGACTTGGACTCTCATGTGGCGGTCCAGGGAGACTGGTAGTGATTGGGGGATTATTTCACTCGGCCCTTGCTCTGGGCCTGACAAGTTCTACAATTTGCAGGTTTGGAAAATGTGGTTAGTGGTAACGGTGGGGTCTACAGATGGGTAACTCTGGGACCTCCTCCACCTCATCTTATAGAGGGGAGGCCTACACCTGCCAACAGGTGGGGCACTAATAACTGGAGCATTGGTAATACGAGTGTTTTTCCCCGGTCACTCCCCATGGTAGGTGGTGGTGTAACCGTGTTTAACTACCAGGGGTTTTATGACACTATGTCAACATAGGTCAGCTGATAGCCATTGTGTGTAGGTAATCGGTAGTCACCCTGGCGCCTCAACAAAATATTATAGAATACTCTGTAGCCAAAGTAATGCCACAAAGTAAAAATGTATATTCTAGTCATGAAAATGTAAATACAAGTTGGTGTAATAAAATGTATGTGTAATTAGAATGATTGTTTTTGTATAAGTTGTAAAAGTTATAAAGGAAAAACAGAGGATGGAACCTCTACACAAATGAGTATAATATACAGAAAGTCTGTAGTATTTTAATTTTGGTATTTGTGAATTACAATTAACAACAGACAAAGAGAGACAACTCTAGAAAATTTTTTAATCACTTTGTGATTAAAGGAAGGACTTCAACATAGTTTAGAAAATACGTCAACAACTCTTGATCGTTGTTCTTCATCTCATTGTTATTCGTTCAGTATTAATATAGGGTCTTCTTCTATGAGTATTGCAATTAACCAGTTTCAGTCTTAATTTTTCAATGTTATGTTTTGTGTACTGTTGTTTGTCTTTTTGTTGTTTTTTGTTTCTTGGCATGGCGTTGTCAAATGTTTTCGACTTATGAGTTTGAATATCCCTTTAGTATCTTTCACCTCTCTTTTTAAAACTGACCTAAAACAATCTGTTATACCAGCATAAGTTTTTTCATTCTTTCCTTTTTGAAGTGTCTGTAATCTTGTCTTCACAACTATAAGTATAAAGAAAATGAAATGACTGTTCTAACATGTCTAATGATTGTGTATTCCTTATATAAAACATACTTATCTCTTTTATTTGTACTGAGTTGGATAGAAATCGACCTTATGCAAATGAATATCAATACATCTGTTAACCTATTAACCTATTTCGGGTTGAAAAAATCTCTACGGAAAGTCTGTAACTGTTTGAAAATTAAGTTGTTATAAGAACTCTACAAAACAAACCAAAATTTATCACGTAGATTTATATGTGTACTTGCATGAGGTCGATTTCTTTTCGACGCAGCTCATTTGTAGTAATGTTAACAATAGAATCAAAGTAATAAAATCTTATTCTACTGGAGACACTGAAAGCAAATATCACAACATGATACCTCCTCCCATGTATTTTTGTTGGCCTTATGATTGGTTTAAAAAGCTTACTGCTTATGTGATCTTATTGTTAACATTCTAAATTTATAATATTTTATTATTTAAATAACAGGTCTAGCAAATGAATATTCATTTTAAATGGTCATTTTTATCGGAACATTCATCTGAAAAGTTTGAATAATTCATTATTCAGACATGTTCAGTCTTTTAGTTAATTTTCAGACTTATCCTCTGCGGTGAATTCAGAACTGTTCAGATAATTTGCTTATAGTCCAGATCCATTTAGACCATGTTCTGACTGTTCAGTCGTTGTTATTTCTCTGTACACAGCAACATCATACTGGATTGTCTGAAAAGCTACGTGCTGAATAATATTAAAATGACTAAACAAACAAATCAATGATTTATTGTTCAATCATTTAAGAGCTGTTCAGACCAAAGTGGCAGTTTCAGAAAAAAATTAACAGAATTAAACAAAAGCAATAAAAGAACAGAGTTCCAATGTATCCTGCTTTGCACATATTTTATCTATCCAGGGGAAATAACTAAAAAAAAAACTTTTTTTTTGTTGTTCTTTAAAACAATTTATAAATAAAAAGCATGTGCAGGGGACAAAAAAGTTTTTTTTTTTTGTATACTAAAATGTTTCAAACAGACCTTCAAGGGCATTACTTATAGTATACTATAAGTTTTATAAAAAATTGTACCCATGAGAGCGCTAACGAGGCCAATTCCATAAATTTAATATTTCCAAGGGTCATAACTCTTTTTAAAAAAGTCGGTCGTCTACCACTATAAAACTTGTCCGAGATATTGCTGTTATTAACCTATAGTAAAAGTTTTATAAAAATCTGGCAAGAATTGTACCCGTGAGAGCACTAACAAGGCCATTTTCAATAAGTTTAATATTTCCAAGGGGCATAACTCTTTTAAAAAAAGTTGATTTTCCACCATTATATAACTAGTTGGAGATATTGCTGATATTAACCCATAGTTTTATAAAAATCTGGCAAAAATTGTACCTGTGAGAGCGCTTACAAGACCAGATGGACAGACACACGGAAGGACGAAAACACTGAAATAAGCCCGCTATTTCCATGTCCCCCGCAACACGTTATGCGGGGGACAACAAATACAAAATCAAAGCACGAAAGCGCTGTAAAGGCAGTTAATTACAGGTTGTGTGTATTTTAAGTCCAGTTATATCATTATCTTGCATAGTACAGTGTACTTATCAGAGGTGGCTTTCAGTATTTAAGATTTAGAGTTCTCTAATGATATTGAACAAGTTTTATGAATGTCATATTCTGAGCACTATATGAAGGCGATTGTTCTCACTTGTTTATGAACTAGTGCATTATGTCCAGTTTGTACCTTTTTTATCTATGTTTATAGTCAAATTAGTTATCAAAGGTACCAGGATTATAATTTAATACGCCAGACGTGTGTTTCGTCTACATAAGACTCATCAGTGACGTTCAGATCAAAATAGTAACAAAGCCAAACAAGTACAAAGTTGAAGAGCATTGAGGACCCAAAATTCCAAAAAGTTGTGCCAAATACGGCTAAGGTAATCTATTCCTTGGATAAGAAAATCCTTAGTTTTTTCATTGGCAATCATAACACATCTCCTTATTTATATAATGATCTATATTCAACGACCTCAGGTACAAAAAAAAATGTATGTAACTAAACTATGATGGGAAACCTTTGACTTCTTTCTTTTATATAAACTTTTGATTTGGTACCATAGAACTATGTAGAGTAAATGTACATTGCAACATGTCAACTCAGTGTTCTCCCCAGGCCGTTTTAGTGTCGCGGTACCGCGACGATATATTTTTTCCCGTGATGCTATAATAATTTCCGCGACGCTATAATTATTTTGAGGATGCTATTTTTCTTGTTTTTATATCGTAAATCCATGTCCTAAATTTTGAACTTTCATCTAATTACCGCGTATGATCATAAAAATTATATCACCTTTAAGTGTAATCCCTTCAAATCGGACAATAGAGGCATTTAAGAGTGATTAAATAGGTGTTAATTGCCCTTTGGGTGATAACTGTTTGGATACGAATACCCCAAACTGACACTTGTGACATGATTAATACCACGTGGTCTGTCTGCAATCGCAAATTAAGACATGGAAAAAATGTAATCATAAAACAATTCGAAATCTACGTTTTGCATTACGGAAATTCAAAGATACAAAAGATTTTTCTCTTTAAAAATGAGGTTTGGTCGTTTATTTTTACAACTTTCATAAAATTACTTTCTTTCTCTTCTGCCGGTACTGCTTGTTAATCGAGAGCGAACATATCGGTTTTGGGCTAAATAAGTTGGCTTAAGTTTATGTTTCATCCATTTAATACATCAAAAGCGTCACATTCGTTCCCAATCTCTTGTCAAACATTGTTTATTTTCGTTAATTTTTCTTCGGCCGCCATTGACTACTTTTGTGTAAACTACCGATTGGAACCGGACCAGATATGACAAAAATCCGCATTTTTACGATAATAACTACAGATGCACAAATGGCACAGCAGACAGAAAAAAATATACCAAAAAGAGAACACTATGCATTGACAGACTATTTGTTAGATAACTTTGTTAAAAATATCTATCACCTTGATATAAAGAAACAACTGGGACTAATTCATTGAGTACCATGAAACAATGAATTTTTAGACATGAAAAAATTTTTTTAATTGAAATTTTATTGCTATATGATACTTTCTCTTTTTTTACTTGATATTTAGTATTGTATATATATAAAGGTTGCACTATAATAAACCATTCACTCATTCATTTAGTTGGGTAGGTAGGGTAACTAGAACCAGAGACATATATTGTATTATATGTCTCTGCTAGAACCACACATATATTGTTATATGGCCCAAGAGGAAAACAATAATTCTGTACAGTAACTATAAATGAATATAGAAAACATAAACTGAAACAACTGTTATCATGGTTATATTTTAACTGTATTCTCAGTTATGAATTGAACAATATGAAATATATACCATAAAGGAAATAGAGCATCACCGCGACGCGACAAATGACATTGAAAAAAAATACAGTTTATTTTTTTTATGCCAAATGTGATGCTATCCAAAATATCTGGGGAGAACACTGCAACTCTTTCAACTCCAAGCAAAATTATATTTCCAAGCATAAAGTAATTTATGAATGAATAAAGGAGTTCTTGATTAAGAAATAAACTGATTCCCTGAGCGCAGCTGGATACACCCGCAGAGGTACTACCCTGAACAGCTGGGGCAAAAATGGACACAATATTCAAGCTTGATACAGGTCTGAATTTGGATTGTAATTAAATATTTGACATATTATAGTTTCTGAATAAATGTAGTCAATGAACTTTAAATTGGTTATATGAATTGAATTTATATTCAATTAAAGATTTCTTGCTGTTGTGCAATACACTGTGCTGTTGCGCAATACTTAATAAATCTGTTGCCAGACTATAAACAAATAAAGTTCAATTTCTTCTCAATGTCATATTTGAAATTTATGAAAATCAATAGGGAGATTACATCAATAGCTATAAATAATTCACCAAAGTTTCATGTGAACTGCTTAAAGCATTTTTGAGTTGTTGTCCAAAAACTGGAAAATCCCCCCTTTTTTAATGAATAAAACCCCATAACTCAGAAATGTAAAATCTAAAATTTATAAAATTCTAAAGGGAGCTTACGGATAGATAATTTAGTCTTAGATGCAAGATTTTTTTATCAGTTGTTAGTGGCTTTGAACTAGCTGTCAGTAACTGCGAGTACTCTCATGATCAGATCTGTACTTAAGTGTCTTTTTGTTGTTTGGATGTACAATGTACAACTACCCGGCCACGTCCACTTGTATTTGTATTTATCCATCTGATGAGTTTAGCCTCTTTCAACTGATTTTTATAGTTCTTTCTTATATTGTACTGTTACACCACTGTCCCAAGTTAGGGGGAGGGTTGGGATCCCGCTAACATGTTTAAGCCGGCCACATTCTGTATGTACATGTATGTGCCTGTCCCAAGTCAGGAGCCTGTAAAAGTGTAATTCAGTAGTTGTCGTTTGTTTATGTGTTGCATATTTGTTATATTTGTTCATTTTTTTACATAAAATAGGCCGTTAGTTTTCTTGTTTGAATTGTTTTTACATTGTCATTTCGGGGCCTTTTATAGCTGACTGTGCGGTATGGGCTTTGCTCATTGTTGAAGGCCGTACTGTGACCTATAGCTGTTTATTTCTGTGTCATTTGGTCTCTTGTGCATGTGTGGAGAGTTGTCTCATTGGCAATCATACCACATCTTCTTTTTTATATTTACATCAACAGATATAAAAAATTCACCAAAGTCAAGGTGAGACAACAAAACTTAGTTGTAAGATCTCTGAAATTTTTTACAGGGTAGAGGTTTTTTTCATTGTTGGAGATTGTACGGTGACAGTAACACCTGTAACTGCTTTAACCCATTTCTTATGCACTTTAGTTTGATAAACTCACTGAATATCATACCACATCTCCTAATTTTTATATGCATTACAATTTACATGTGCATGTAATTGTAAATATATATATATCAGAACAAAATTCATTGCGTCAC